TTAATAATAAAAGTTTCACTATATCTCTAAAGCAATAAACCAGCAAAATTTAGAACACCAGCCTGAAGATCCTTTTGAAAATGGAAAAAATGAGGGTTGGCAAATTTGAAATTTGAATGGAAAAAATGGAATGAAATTTGAATGGAAAAAATGGAATGAAATTTGAATGGAAAAAATGAGGGTTGGCAAATTTCCCAATTATTACAGGTGGAAATTTCTCTGTTCACAGCATAGTTGTAATCCAGTCCTTACTGCATTTTCCATTATGGCAGGTTTTGCCTTTCAATGCTAAAATCTTCAATGACCTCAATTATAGAACATAGAACTGTTTCATCTAAGTTGAAGATGTCATGTTCAGCATATTCTTGCAGTATTGGACAAACAGTTTCTAGCCATAATTCAGCAGTGTTAGTGTTTACTGATGAAGATTTACTACAGGCATTCAGGGATATAATATTGTGGCAGGCTTGAAATTGGCATAACCATTCATTGGAACACTTGAAGTCATCAATTCCCAAGCATAATGTTAATATAACTGCCTTTTCTTTGATCACGGGTCCTGACATGGATATTTTTTGCACATAGATTGCAAAACAAATCAAAAAGAGTCTCTTCTATTCCTCATATTTGGAAGTCTGCAGATGTTTTTGTTTGCCAATTTCAGCACCAGATTCAGCTGATTGTTCAAATTTGTCAGTTTTTTAGCCATGTTGATAGAGTCAAAAAATAAATATTGAAATCTCTTGCAATCTGACTTTTTGAATGTTCATTCTTGTCCATCTCCTGGAGAATTTCCATTTTTTTGCACTCAAGATTTCATTATAGCATCTTTTAGAGCCTTTTCCTGATGACATCTTCACAAAAATTACTTTGAAAAATAAAAAAATGTTCACTTTCTGCCCACTTGTTATGTACTTTTTTGTTGATGAATATCAGCTATAAAAAACAACAACCAATTACTGGTTAATATTAATAATAAAAGTTTCACTATATCTCTAAAGCAATAAACCAGCAAAATTTAGAACACCAGCCTGAAGATCCTTTTGAAAATGGAAAAAATGAGGGTTGGCAAATTTGAAATTTGAATGGAAAAAATGGAATGAAATTTGAATGGAAAAAATGGAATGAAATTTGAATGGAAAAAATGAGGGTTGGCAAATTTCCCAATTATTACAGGTGGAAATTTCTCTGTTCACAGCATAGTTGTAATCCAGTCCTTACTGCATTTTCCATTATGGCAGGTTTTGCCTTTCAATGCTAAAATCTTCAATGACCTCAATTATAGAACATAGAACTGTTTCATCTAAGTTGAAGATGTCATGTTCAGCATATTCTTGCAGTATTGGACAAACAGTTTCTAGCCATAATTCAGCAGTGTTAGTGTTTACTGATGAAGATTTACTACAGGCATTCAGGGATATAATATTGTGGCAGGCTTGAAATTGGCATAACCATTCATTGGAACACTTGAAGTCATCAATTCCCAAGCATAATGTTAATATAACTGCCTTTTCTTTGATCACGGGTCCTGACATGGATATTTTTTGCACATAGATTGCAAAACAAATCAAAAAGAGTCTCTTCTATTCCTCATATTTGGAAGTCTGCAGATGTTTTTGTTTGCCAATTTCAGCACCAGATTCAGCTGATTGTTCAAATTTGTCAGTTTTTTAGCCATGTTGATAGAGTCAAAAAATAAATATTGAAATCTCTTGCAATCTGACTTTTTGAATGTTCATTCTTGTCCATCTCCTGGAGAATTTCCATTTTTTTGCACTCAAGATTTCATTATAGCATCTTTTAGAGCCTTTTCCTGATGACATCTTCACAAAAATTACTTTGAAAAATAAAAAAATGTTCACTTTCTGCCCACTTGTTATGTACTTTTTTGTTGATGAATATCAGCTATAAAAAACAACAACCAATTACTGGTTAATATTAATAATAAAAGTTTCACTATATCTCTAAAGCAATAAACCAGCAAAATTTAGAACACCAGCCTGAAGATCCTTTTGAAAATGGAAAAAATGAGGGTTGGCAAATTTGAAATTTGAATGGAAAAAATGGAATGAAATTTGAATGGAAAAAATGGAATGAAATTTGAATGGAAAAAATGAGGGTTGGCAAATTTCCCAATTATTACAGGTGGAAATTTCTCTGTTCACAGCATAGTTGTAATCCAGTCCTTACTGCATTTTCCATTATGGCAGGTTTTGCCTTTCAATGCTAAAATCTTCAATGACCTCAATTATAGAACATAGAACTGTTTCATCTAAGTTGAAGATGTCATGTTCAGCATATTCTTGCAGTATTGGACAAACAGTTTCTAGCCATAATTCAGCAGTGTTAGTGTTTACTGATGAAGATTTACTACAGGCATTCAGGGATATAATATTGTGGCAGGCTTGAAATTGGCATAACCATTCATTGGAACACTTGAAGTCATCAATTCCCAAGCATAATGTTAATATAACTGCCTTTTCTTTGATCACGGGTCCTGACATGGATATTTTTTGCACATAGATTGCAAAACAAATCAAAAAGAGTCTCTTCTATTCCTCATATTTGGAAGTCTGCAGATGTTTTTGTTTGCCAATTTCAGCACCAGATTCAGCTGATTGTTCAAATTTGTCAGTTTTTTAGCCATGTTGATAGAGTCAAAAAATAAATATTGAAATCTCTTGCAATCTGACTTTTTGAATGTTCATTCTTGTCCATCTCCTGGAGAATTTCCATTTTTTTGCACTCAAGATTTCATTATAGCATCTTTTAGAGCCTTTTCCTGATGACATCTTCACAAAAATTACTTTGAAAAATAAAAAAATGTTCACTTTCTGCCCACNTGTACCATGTCGTTAACATAACAAATAAACAATATCGGACTTAAGGAATCACCCTGTGGTAAACCCTTTTCCAATGAAAAGGCATCAGTAAATCCGGCACTAGTGGAAACCCTTGCTTTCAAACCTGAAAATAGACATTGAATAATGTCAATAAACTTATCTGAGATTCCAAGCATTTTTAATTTGGATAACAAAATCTTCAAAACAACACTGTCAAAAGCTTTCTCGTAGTCAATAAACGCTGCAAGTAAACGTTGTCTTTTCTTTGAAAGTTGTCTACAAATAATGGAGTGGAGAATCAGAATATTACTCAAAGTGCTCTTCCGAGGTTGGAAAGCAAATTGCACAGGTTGTATCAAATTCCTCTCTCTTAGCCAAATTCCCAATCTATTTGCCAAAATAGAGGTAAATATCTTTCGAACTACAGGCAACAACGATATTGGTCGAAAGTTAGCGGGATCGTCTAGTGGACCTTTTTTATGGATAACTTTTATTGTTGTTGTTTTATCGATAACTTTTATCTTTACTTCCAACCACGGTTTCGGAATTCTAGCAGTGTCATAAACCCGATTAAATAACTTGGCCAGGTAAGGAACCAAAGTGTCCCTTGAGTAAACAATTAAAGACGGCGAAACATTATCCACCCCGGGAGCAGAACGAATCCGCATTTTTTGAAGTGCTGCATTCACCTCTGAATCAGAAATAGGAAGATCTAAAATAGGATCAACAATACAAGAAGCCATCGGTAATGACAGAATCGGAGGTAAATTCGATATATTTAAACTAAATAACTTTTGATAATAAATAAACCAAACGGTCAAGGAAATCTCATGGTCTAGTATACGCCTGACCCGACGAAAACGACCTACCCGATACCAAAAAGTCCTAGAGTCTCTAATACCAGCCAACTGTAAAGCATAACTACAAAAAAATCTCCTTTTTTTGGCCTTAATAAGTGAATTATATTGTCGTTTCAAATTTAAAAAGGAAGCCAAATCAGCCTGACTATTAGATCTGCGAAATTTGCCCAAGGCAATGTTCCTCGCTCGCTNCCTTTAGCTTCCGGTACATTGCTTTAAAAATTCTCGGTAAACATACCTTGTATTAATTAAAAAGGCACACTGAGCGGTTAAATGCGTTCGTTACGTGTAAAAGAACATACTTCAGCTAGCATCAGAATCAAGTGATAGCCTGTTGTACATGTTTATATTTACTAAAAGTACATCAAATGTCAAATAAGGACGTGGGCTTAGAATTAAATATAATTTGTACATCGTCGTTGGATACTAAGCAGTAGAAGGAGAGCCGCGGTAATATTGTCGTTTTGGTTTGCAGTAGATTTCGGGCCGCAATCTTTTAATAAACTCATTTTTATTTACAATGTTTAAACGGTATCTGTAAGTTACAGTTACACAATATTATAACTTCTGTACAGGATAGTAGCCTAAAGTTGATTTAAAATCGGGCATAATTGTACAGCGCGTATGGAAACCGTTTCATTTACAAACGTTTACGGTATGCCTCCTGTTTTATTAAACTACGAAAATCCGAAATTCCTATAGTTTGTAGTATCCAGAATAATCCATGAATTTTATCTGCTGGATTTTTACTAACATTATTAGTATAAAAAACGTTATTAGGAAGTGTTGATATACGCAAAAATTTAAAATTTTCGCAGTCAAGCATGTAGTGATTTAAATTCGCATTTCATTTCTTACAAAACGGACACATTTCCGATGAACGTAAGTCAATACACAAGTGTTTCCATGTTAAACGAAACTTGTTTAAACGAATTTGTATGATTGTTTTTTTAACAATAAACGGTAACTGCTGGTAATAAATGTAAAAGCACCGGTTGTTATCTAATATTTCTGGGTACCATAAATGATACTTAGCCTTAAGAATCTTGTCCTTTTCTTATCTCAAGAAAAGATTATCAAACTTATGTAAAATTGTATTTGCGTAATATTTCATAACATCTGGAGAGGAATCTATTAATGAGAGTGAGATACCTATTTTATTAAATAGGTTCTCCAATTTAGTAAACTAACAGTGTTTGAACAATCTTTTCGATGAAAACTTTTTGAAAGTTAAATATGCCTCGCATTCCAAGGATGATGGGTCAGAGATTATGTTTCTCAGAAAATTTAAGGTCAATTATACAAAGCGTTTCCGAGGAAACTCAAGGCCTAATTCTGATCTAATTGCATACGATGGGATCCGCCTCTCAAAATAAAAAAGACGACGAAAGAACATCAGTTCTATAGAGTCGATATCTTCAAAGCAAAAAGGCCCCCAAAAGGGCAAACCATAAGACCAACTCGAAGTAAAAAGAGAGGCGGCAAGTTTCTTACACAAAGCCATATGGCTGTTTTTAACCCGTCTCAAGATATCTATTATAACATTTATTTTGGAAAATGCTTTACCTTTAACATAAGAAATGTAATTTTGGAACGAGCCAGTATCTGAGAGACGAATCTTCAAATATATAACTTCATTAACAATACTGACTCCTCTACCATTTAAGAAAAATTTATCAGCTTTTCTCAACCTTCCACCATGTTTAAAAATTATCATTTTCGACTTTGATAAATTAATACGCAAACCCAAATTAGAGGAATAATTATATAACCTGTCCAATTTTCTTTGTAGATAAATCGGGGTAGTGGATAACACCACTGTATCGTCAGCAAATTGAAGTAAATGGACTTCGTAGTTTCCCAGAGAAATGAAATCTTTACTTAAATCATCAAAAACGTGTACCATGTCGTTAACATAACAAATAAACAATATCGGACTTAAGGAATCACCCTGTGGTAAACCCTTTTCCAATGAAAAGGCATCAGTAAACCCGGCACTAGTGGAAATCCTTGCTTTCAATCCTGAAAATAAACATTGAATAATGTCAATAAACTTATCGGAGATTCCAAGTATTTTTAATTTAGATAACAAAATCTTCAAAACAACACTGTCAAAAGCTTTCTCGTAGTCAATAAACGCTGCAAGTAAACGTTGTCTTTTCTTTGAAAGTTGTCTACAAATAATGGAGTGGAGAATTAGAATGTTACTTAAAGTGCTTTTCCGAGGTTGGAAAGCAAATTGCACAGGTTGAATCACATTCCTCTCTCTTAGCCAAATACCCAATCTATTTGCCAAAATAGAGGTAAATATCGTTCGAACTACAGGCAACAACGATATTGGTCGAAAGTTAGCGGGATCGTCTAGTGGACCTTTTTTTATGGATAACTTTTATCTTTACTTCCAACCACGGTTTCGGAATTCTAGCAGTGTCATAAACCCGATTAAATAACTTGGCCAAGTAAGGAACCAAAGTGTCCCTAGAGTAAACAATTAAAGACGGTGAAACATTATCCACCCCGGGAGCAAAACGAATTCGCGTCTTTTGAAGTGCTGTATTCACCTCTTAGTCAGAGATAAGAAGATCTAAAATAGGATCAACAACACAAGAAGCCATCGGTAGTGACAGAATCGGGGGTAATTTCGATGTATTTAAACTAAATAACTGTTGATAATAAATAAATCAAACGGTCAAGGAAATCTCTTGGTCTAGTATGCGCCTGACCCGACGAAAACGACCTACCCGATACCAAAAGGTCTTAGAGTCTCTAATATTAGCCAACTGTAAAGCATAATTACAAAAATATTTCCTCTTTTTAGCCTTAATAAGTGAATTATATTGTCGTTTCAAATTTAAAAAGGAAGCCAAATCAGCCGGACTATTAGATCTGCGGAATTTGCTCAAGGCAATGTTCCTCGCTCGCTTTTGAATATAGCATGACCCATCAAACCAAGGGGAACGAATCCTCCTGTAAGGTTCAACACCTTCAATTAACACATTTAGTCTTCTTGCTATAGAGCATAGCTCAGACAAAATGATACCATAAAAATCATCAACAGGCATAGAATCAAAGTTTAAATTTTGGAAACTCTGCGATACGGCATCACCAAACAATTCTACTTTAGAATCATTCCAAACAAAACTAATCTTGGTGGAACAAAACACATCAACAAAAGATAATCTATTTCCGGTCGACAACTGTAATTAATTCCACTGAAAATGGTCCGAAGATGAAAGAGACCCAACACGAAAGGATTCCACCTTATGAACCAGATTCTGAGAAACAACTATAAAGTCTATTACCGAGCTACCCACTTTTGACAAAAAAGTTAGTTCACCTGGGAAATCTCCCTTAGTACGACCATTAAGAAGAATAAAATCGTGTTCAATCAACCAATGCAGAAACTGTCTCCCGCCCGTGCCAACCTTTAAATCCTTTGACCGTCTAACATCAAAAATGTTGGGAGAAGCTACATCCAAATGTGAATCAATAACTTCACCAATATGGACGTTAAAATCGCCCATTATCACAATTCCATCGTAGTACGAAGACCAAGAGTTCAAAATAGAAGAAAACAAATCTAAACGTAAGCCTTGCTGCCTCAGCGAACCAGCGTATACCACCAACACCAGGATATTCCTAGGTTCGAGAGCCGAATACATTCATTTTCATTTCTTTATTAACGCACACAATGGTACATGCCGGGTTCCGCAGTGAGCACTACCCGGTGATAACAAATTACAATAATAAAGATACAGATAGATATAGGTGTTATAAAATACATAATTAATTATAATATAAAGGTAAAATACACAGGCGTAATAGGTACACAATACAATAACACAATACAATACAATACAGAAAACACTGACGATCGAGCGGTGTCTCGAAGATTGTGCTTGGTGCGATTTCAGCTAAAATCCAGTCACATTCGACACCAATACACAAAGTCCATCCTTAAAAAGAGACAGCCATAAGCAAAATAGGATGAAGAAAAATGTTCTTCAGCACTAATGTATATATTGTGTACTGTAAACTTAGTGCTGCAGTCTTGATCATCTGTCCGCACGTAAACAGTACACTTTGGTAGAGAATAACTACTGAATAATCAGGATAAACTAGACGTATGCCAGACATCCTGAGGCTGATGATGTGTAACATGATGGCTGCTGAAATTAGAATTATTTGATGAATCGGAATAAGATGGTATCGTATCATACTCAAGAGAGTGATTGAGTACAAAGCTGACTAAAAGCCACTGACTGTTGTACGTGCAAAGTATTTGGTGATTAAGTCGAAAAAGGCCTCATATGAGTCTTTTTCACGAAGGATTGTGTTATAGTCAGACCAGTTATGGCCATGTGAATTAATAGTGGTAATCAGTATATGTCGCTCCAAATTAAGCATGGGGCACTCATAAATGTAGTGCACATTACTATCTGTAACACCACACAGGGAGCACATTGAACTGGTTGCGTTAACGAATCTCGCTAGATAAGATTGAAAGCGACCATGGCCGGTAAGAAATTGCGTAACAAAACTATTAGGTCTGTACCATTTGTATGTAAAAAAGGTCTTGATACAAGGTATAAATCTATGAGTAATAGGGTGGTTATGTTGGTCCCAGGTGTTTTGCCAAGTTAATAGGAGATCCTGCCAGAGAATTCTTTTGAGAGTACTGGTGCTGATTTTATCATAAGAGATATTAAGACTATTATCGTTGGAAGCTGCCTTAGCTAAGGCATCAGCTCTTTCGTTACCATGGGTACCTATATGTGCACGAGTCCAGTAAATATAATATCGATTGGAAGACTTGGAAATGAGAGTGTTAATGTCATAAACGATTGGGTGAAAGGATCTTTTACGAAGGATTGCAATAGAGGAAGAGCTATCAGTAATGATAGCTATTTGTTTATGCTGGACATTGTTAGCCCAAGTAATGGCCATTTTCAAGGCATAGAGTTCTGCTTGAAAAATAGTGCATTGTTCACCCAATCTGAACTGGCCCAGAGCAATCTCCTGCCCGTTCTGGTAAACAACATAACTACAACCAACCTTTATATCTGTTTTCGAACCATCCGTAAAGATTTCGTAATCATTGTAAGAGGGTTGCTCGAAGACGATTGACGGTGTGGACGAAAGGGCCAAAGATTGTGAATAAATGACAAAAGAAATTTCTTGTTCCAAGTCGGTGTGACTTATTTGTTGGTTGCTAGTATAAATATCAAGGCCATGCTTTATTTGCCAT